ATAGTAACACAAAACAAATCCACACATTTGCAAAGGAAGGGAACCTATACTAAAAAGCAGTTATTTTCAAAACTATTTGGTCCTGGTTAAAAAAATTAAAAATTTGAACAATGGAACATATTAGATTCAGATGATACAGAAGAAAATGGATGTAATCACACAGTATTTGACATACCCAAGTACTATTAACTACTGGTAGAAGGAATCACTATTTGACAAAAATTGGAAAGTAGTAGCAGTCTTGTGGTAATTGGTTTACAACAACATCTTATACTATATACCACAGTAGGCTCCAAATGGATGGATAAAAGGTCATCTCATAAACTAATTAGAGCAAGAAGGAAGGAGATACCTTTCACAACTATGGATGGTGGGAGAGTTCTTGACCAAACAAAGGTTAGAGGCAATAACAGGAGATAAAACAGAAAATTTTCGTTATAGAAAATGGAAAATATTGTGCACAAACAAATCAATGAAGTTAAAATTAAAAGGGACAATTAAACAGGAAATAAACATTTTCAGCAAACTTTTCTGATACAGAGCTGATATCCAAGATACAGAGGGAATTGATTTAAATATATAAGAATAAGCATCATTGCCCAATAGATAAATAGCCCAAGGATATAACTAAGCATTTCTGAAAAGAAATCAACAGCCATATTTCCCCCATTAGACTGTGAGCTCCTTGAGACCAGGGACTACAGTATTGTAAAGGAATCTAACTCTGAAAGACTTAAGAACTCTGATCAATGAAATGATAAATCACAACTCTAGAAGGCTGTTGATGAAGCATGCCTCCCATCCCTTGAAGAAAGATGATAATAAACTAGAGGTGCAGAAGGAGACATACATTTTCTGATAGAGGCAAAACAGTATCTGTTTTGCTTTATTATTTGCAATTATTTGTCATAAAAGATAACATTTGTTTGTTTGGTCAAGGAGAGTCCATGGTTGGGGAGAGGGAGTAATGATAATGTCCTAAAAAAGAAGAAAAATTAAAATAAGTATTAATGAAATATTTATTATAAAATACACAGAAGAGAGCAGAAGGCATCTCAGAAAGAGACAGACAAGTAAGGCAGTATTAAAATTACTATGTGGAATTTATTATATATTTGGGAAAAATAAGCCATATGTAATTGGCATTCATGGTTTCAGATACAATTTTTTCTCATGTTCTTCATGTATGGACATGATTGTATTTGTTGGTGTCTATCAAGTACATGATTTAAATAAATGGAAAAAAAAATCCAAGAGGCAATTTGACTGGATCTCTTGGGAGGTCAGGCCTACGTGTATAGCTCTACGAGTCATCCACATAGAACCTATAAGTAAGCCCGGGGAATAGATGAGATTCTTGAAAAAGAGAAAAGGACCAGAGCTAGATCCCTAGGTCCTATATCCCTTCCAGTTCCAAAATTCCAACTTGACTATCTGGCCTCCTGTCTATCATCCCGGCAGATTGCTTTATAGGTGTCAACCACTAGGTGTCACTCTAAGATGAGTGAAATAGCAGCGCTATGATCTCTATACACTATGTGCATCAGCAAAACGTTTGTCTTCTGTGCTACCTACCCTCCCTCTTGTGATACCTCTCTCTAAAGTTGCCCTTTGGCTGCCCAGGAGGACCCCACACTTTGGACCTCCAATCAGGCTGGTCCTTTTTGATAGCATTATTGATTTTGCTTTCTCATTGACACTTCTATAGAGGCCATAGCATTTGGAGCAGAAAGAGATGTTAGATGCTCACAAATCCAACCCCCTCATTTTTACAAATGAGAAAGGTGAGATCTCCACAGATGAAATGATTTGTACAAGGTTACCAGTAATAAGTGGTGGGACTGGGATTTGGACCTGGCTATCTTGACTTCAAATCCAATTCTTTCCGCCATACTTGCTTCTAGAGAATCTCAGATATTATACTAGGAGAAAATTATTTAGGGCTTAGGTTTTGTCTCATGTTTAGCATCTCCCCAAAGGAGAGGGTAGAAAGGTACGTAGTGTATAACTAAAATCATTTTTGTATAAGTATTTATTTCCTATACACGAAAGAGTGGTAAACACAAAAGGCTCTCACCATTGCATGTTGACAGAAAACAGACCTTCCCTGGGAACTGAAAGCCAAATATTGAAATATAAAACAACTTGCAGTACTGTTGAAGAAATTTTTATATTTCACCTTGCTTCTGAACTGTCCAAACAATTCTCCCCAGGTCCATGTCTTCTGGCAGGCCAGGCCTCTGGTCATCTTTTCCAACAAATGATGGCGTATAGGCCAGAGGACTAGAAGTTGTGGATGCATTATTCCTGTCCCTGGAGTTTAGAGAATCTCGCATCATTCTCAAAAATATTCCACTGACTTTTAACCTAGAGAGAGGACTCTTCATTGCGTCAAGATAGTGAAACGTAAGTACCAATAAGATCCAAATCCCTTTGGGAAGGTAGCTCTCAAAATCAGGTTGACTGAAAAGTGCTGAGGCATCTTCTCAAAAATATATACTTTACAATGAAATGTTCTATTGGAATAATTTTCCTTATAGCACTTCTGGCTGTTGCTTCTAACTTCATTATGACATTTACCTTGCCACCTCTCAACTTATCTATTACTTAGTTTATACGTCTCAGTAAGAAATTGGAACACAGGCTATTCCGGACTCGATTTGCCTTGCCCTTTCCCAGGGCAGGTTTGAATCTCTCCAGTCTGAGCTGACAGTTCCAGACCAACCATTCATCTAGTCCCACAGTGATCACTAGGACTACACATTGGTCCTTATGCCTTGACTGTGCTACCAAACCACGATCAACCAGCTCGTGCCCACTGATTCAGCTCAAACCACCTAAATTAGCAGTTCCCCTCATCCACTATATCTTGACACATTCTGGGCAAGAGAGTACAAGAGAGTTGGAAAGAGATTAAAGAATTAGCATGCATTTTCAAATGTTTCGATTCAAAATTTAATTATTAAGTAATTACTTTACTAGAGTCTTACTCTGAGAACTCTCTGTGGCATGGAGGTAACCTAAGGAGGTACTACCAAGCTGTAAAAATTTTGATAATGGGTCACTATGGCCGATGATCAACCTTTGGTGATCAGGTTCATCATCAAACATGAACCTTTGTTTGGCTACCAGGTGATTTTTTTTTCCTTCAGTTACAGGGACAAAGGAATGCTATTTTCCAAGGTGTGGACACAGTTACAATTAGAATCATTTGAGGGAGTACCAACACAAGTGAAAACCTTGGTGAACTGAAGCTTTTTGTTTGTTTGTTTGATTTTTGGTTAGGTAATGGGGTTAAATGACTTGCCCAGGGTCACACAGCTAGTAAGTGTCAAGTGTCTGAGGCCAGATTTGAACTCAGGTCCTCCTGAGTCCAGGGCCTGTGCTCTATCCAATGCACCACCTAGCTGCCCTGTGAACTGAAGTTTTAGACAGCCAAAACTTAGATAACTTTCTTTAAAAATGTTTTTATTGTTATTATGAACTTGATAAGCAACAACAGATCTGAACATATCCATGTTCAAAGAAGAACAGACTTCGTGTACAGAGAACTGTATATGAAACTTGAATTTCTATCATATACAACTTGGGTTTTTTTTTTTAAGTAAATGTAAAAGTAGCCTTAATAGCCTTTCCTATGTAGACCATAGATACTATTACTATGCCTTTAAGAGGCTCTGGATTTTGAACAGTGACAGTTTAACTGCCATTGAAAAAGGGGGGGGGGAACAACTGCTTATGATAAAAGTGTCCCTCCAGTTTATTAAATAAGTAATATTTAACAACTTGGAGTAGGGGCTCAGATCTTATGTTGTAATGTTAGGAATGAATAGGGAAATGTCAAAACACGCCCTTGGATTATTTTAGAATTTGGGATGATGAGAATGACTGCGGTAATAAATCAAGCAGCAGGTTAAGGAGTGATGATCCCATATGAGATATACATGGGGCGGGGGGAGAGGTTTGACCCTAAACCAAAGTCCTATTACATATATATTAAACATAGTCATTCCAATACTTCTCTACTTGTATATGTCCTCTTCTGAATTCCTTTCTGCCTTCTGTGTATTTTTAAACCATTTTATTTCATTTTTATTTTATTTTATTTCACTTTATTCTCTTGTATTTATATTTATGGCTTTACTATCACTCTGTGTTCCCTCATTTTCCCCCCAATAAAAGTCCTTCTTTGCAGTCAAGTAAAATAAATCCATACATTGATAGTGTTTGACAATCTGTGTCTTATTCTGAACCTCCAAGCCAGGGGTCATCAAACTATCCAGTCAGACCCTGTTTTTGTAAGACCTGTGAACTAAAAAAAAAAAGGAAAACAACTTTAATACATAATGATATTGACCTTTTTTATTGTATTAAAATCTGGTGATAGGCTGGATTTTGCCCTCAGGCTCTAATTTCCTGACTTCTTCTCCAACCCATCACCTCTCTGACAAGAAGTAGGAAGCATGATTCACCATCAGTTTCCTGGAGTTATGGCTGGTCATTGCACTGATCAGAGTTCTTAAGTTTTTCAAAGTTTTTTTCCTTTACAATGCTGTAGTCACTGTATAAATTATTCTCCTGGTCCTGCTCACATCATTCCACATCAAAATAGTGAAAATAGATCATGCCGAGGGGATGCAATATCTGTAGCCAAGAAGTAGTGATGTACAGTTGGCTATAGGGAGTTGTGAAAACCCAGAAAAGAGAAGTCTTGCAGTTGTGATACAAGGCATATGACACCGAAACCTAAATTATCCCCCTCTTTGGAGTGTAAGTTTTGCAATGGTTTGCTTATGGAAGACTTAAAAACTTAAACTTCAGTGCATGAGTCTGTGGAAAACTGTATTCCTTCATGAACGGTAGCTGATAACTCAGTGTCTTGATTTTCCCATTATTTATTTTGCTTTGCTATTCTGTCCCAATTCAATACTTTCTTATTTAATTTATGGTTTCTGCCAGGTTGATTTGTAGAATGGGCACTAGAGGGGGCCTCAAGTCATATATAGATTACTACTATTTTGAACATAGTAACCTGAAGAACTTTCAGTGGGAGTAGAATATGTAAGTTCCATGCCATTGGATTTGCCACTTAAAACTCATTAGTCTTTGGAGAGATTATTTTCAGCAAAGTGATGGGAACAGAATACCAGAATGGATGTGATTAATTAAGAATGCATCAGGAAGTAGAGGTAATGAATATAAACAGCTTCTTTCAGAAGTTTATCATTGAAAGGGGTGGAGGGGATGTGTGTGTGTGGAAAGAGAGAGAGAGAGAGAGAGAGAGAGAGAGAGAGAGAGAGAGAGAGAGAACTAAAGCTGGAATAAGTAGCAGTTATCTATGGAGTGTTTTATTTCTTAGGCTAATTGAGAATCATATGTATCATCAACAGTGCTTCTCCTAGACAGTCTTAAAGAAGGATGCTTATGGCAATTCCACATTGGTGTAAAAGCCAGCTATTTAGCTATTTCTGTTTTTTAGTTGTCCCTTTTCTGTCACTTGAAGCAAGCACATACAACTCTATCCTCACTTTCCCCTTTCTCTTAAATTGTATACCGTTGCCAGAAAGACGTCCATTGTTAAAACCAATCTAATCCAATTGACTCTTAGATTTCTATCCTTCCTCAAACTGTATTTTATGACAAGATGTTTAAAGAGAGACATTATGAAAAAAAATCTAGATCTGACAGATATCCTGACCCTCTCTCAGATGTAAGGTTTTTTTCCTTATTCTCTGTTAGATATAAAGCACTTCAGTCTTTTAAGAGATGGAAACCATTTACCAAGAAGTAGTGACCCTTGGATTGGCCAGCTATCTTTTAAATAAAAACTTGGAGCAAATCTTCCCTGAAGGAAAGTGGTTTATTCCGTGATAGTTCTAAAATAGAAAACTTTATCTTTTACATTTACTGTATAACCTGGTAATATTTTAGCAGTCATGACTCATTTATCACTTATTTATCATCAGGTTCTAAGGAGCTACTGAGCAGGAAAATAAAACTCAGCTCATCCCTTTAAAAGAACTCATTTGATTCAAAATTTTATGGTAATAAGAACAAATTGCTCCTCCCTTTCCCTCAAGTCAGAGGAAGGCCCATTTCCCAGCCCCTTCTTTCCATAATTCCCTTTAGATATACTAAATTAGAGACCTAAGGACTTCACATCTATACTTTTAAATTTCATCTTTTTTTCATTTTGGCTCAACAGTGACAGACTGTTTGAAAATATAAGGGACCTCCTATCTCTATGAACTCGCCCTGGTATACCTCTTTTTAAAAATGACTTCTGCTTTTCCCCTCATTTAGGATTGGAGGGCTTTCAAGGGTGGGGAACCTGCAACCTCAAGGCCACATGTGGCCTTCTAGGTCCTCAAGTGCAGTCCTTTGATGGAATCCAACTGTAGGCCCTCACGTGCTCTTCCTGTGGCCTGAATTCTGTCAAAGAGCCACACTTGAGGACCTAGAGGGCCAAATGTGGCCCTGAGGCTGCAGGTTCCCCACCCCTGGAGCTTATCAGAGAAATTCTGGTTGCAAGTCACAGGGTCAGTGCAGCTTCTCAGTAATGCTAAGAGAGTGCTATATTCTCATAATCTTCCTCCAACAGCAGGCCTACTTCTTTGTTCTTTCTTTTAGCTCTTGCTCAGAACATAATTTAAAACTCCGTTTACATTTTTTTAAACTTCATGGTATTCTGGGATTAAGCCTCCACAATATTCTTCCAAAGTGTATGCTATCCTTTTGTATTCTCACTTGGAAATGTTTTACTCCTATTGTTTTGTGCACATTCCTTAAAAAAATCCAAGATCATCAAATTGTGTGGCTATACCACTTTCTTTAGGAATCTTTTCTTTTTCACTGGATTTGATGCTTTGATGTATTGGTAATCTCATCAATGTGGGCACTTCCTCCCAAAGAACAAACTGAATCTCAATCACATCCTCTAGTCCTCTGCTATTGTTGTCCATGTTCTTCCATTAATCCATCACAGAAAATGCACTTATCACACCGATGATTGATAAGATTCCAGTATCTTCCTCCATTAGATGTTACAGTTTTATATATGTAAAAATGGTGTGGTCAGTCAGTCAACTTGCTCCTACTATGTGCCAGGCACTGTGTTAAGTGCTGGAGATACAAGAGAGGTAAAAGATAATTCCTGTTCCCAAGGACTTCCATCTAATGAAGGTGACAACATGCAAATACCTATTTACAAACAAGATTATATACATATACTATATATATATGTATATATATATATATACATATATATATACATACATATAATAAAATGGAGATGTCAACAGAAGTATGTCTGTCATTGACAAGTAATTTAAAAATGACTCCTAGAAAGGTAGCCAGTCATTTCCTGTCAGTTACTATATAAATAATGGATTTTAGTTTTTGGTGATGTAATTCAGTGCTTAATATACTTAGCATGCTCCCAACCCACTCACCCCCCATCAAACTCTTTTCATGAAGACAGTATTTATTATACACATGGATACCAGTAGGTTTATTTAAGCCTTGTTTTCTCATTTCTTACATCAGAGCCATACTTTCCAATATATTTTTGCCATCCTCTTCTATGCCCACCTTTGCATTAAACCACCAAGTACTAAGGTGCATGCTGATTAATTTGGAGGGTAGTATCAAATTATTCATAGAATTCTCTACCTTCTTATCTTCTGTAACAGATGTAAAACGAAGGGGCTGGACTGATTGACCTTTCCAACTTTATATCTGTGATCCTGTGACCATGTGTTAGTGTTTACGGTCTTGTCTTACAACACTTCGTCAACAACATGAGAGAACCAAGCATCCTCTGACATCGTTTCCTTTGCATCCTTTGGATGCAAAATAAAACCAATTCCACCTCTTATTTGCTTCTCCAAGGAGGATCTCTGAGCTATCCTTCTGTTCAGCTTCAATTTCTTTTTGTCTTCTGGTTTCATTAATAATAAGCATGTCAATTTTGATACAACTTGGTAATGTATTTGTTGGTTGTTGGACAAGGAGTTCACATCTAGAGTACTGGTAGTTAATGTTAATAGAAGGTCTAAAAAGTGTGTGATTCTTAACATCTTCTGCCCCTTTTTAGTCGCTGTGTCATCATCACTACAGTAGTAGAAAGGAACCACACAAGACCATAGCCTGTTTAACATTTTCCCCATGGGTTGCCATGGCCAAAGATTTCATCGCTTAGTGGTCAGTTTACTGGTGTTGAGTCTGTCCAAATTTAGCTATACTGGTGTTCATAAAGAAGATGTGGACTATCACTTGGGCCAATTTCAAGGGCTTTCCAGCATGGCACAACTGGCGAGAGTTTGTGCTCAGCTGGCATAGCCTTTGAGAACCCAAGGTCAACTCCATTTGAAGCAATGGAGTAGGTAATTGGGGAGCCACAATTTTACTTTTTTAGAATCTCCTATCTTAAAAGATCTACATTTACTTTTAGAATCTATAGTTATGAGATTGTGCCAAATTTTCTCTTATCTTTTAAAAAAAGCTGCTTCCCTTAAGTTTAGATTATTTGTCAGTGTCCAGTATATGCCTCCCTTGCTAACACAGTCTCTAAGATGAAAGTCAACTCTTAGGTGCTTGTAGCTTCCATATCATCAACCACTTTGAATAAAGTAATAGAATCCTAGAAACCTTGAATATTAGAATTGGATAGAATCTCAGAGTTGATCTAGCCCAAACAACACATTTTACAGAACAGGAAAACTGAGGGTCAGAGTGGTTCAGTGAGTTGGGGCAAGATTCTAGGTCTTCTGGCTTCCATTCTAGCACTCTCCTGTTATATCATCTTATCTATGTAATGCCTAGTGTACAGTAACCAAATCTATGCACCCAAAACAAAGATATGGCTACTGTCTATAGTCATGATGTGGTGCAAAGAGGGCTAGTTTTGGACTCATTTCCTGGGTTCAAATCCTAATGTTGCCACCTGCTTTATCTCAGCAACTCATCTTCCTTCTGCGGGCCTCCATTTTCTCATCTATAAAATCAACCACTCAATCAAAAAACATTTATTAAGTGCCTTCTCTGTGTCTGATACTGTACTAGTATAGTGGAAGTTGGATGGGACTATACGCCATGGAGCATGTATGGGAATGGGCTTGCATTGAGCTCCCTTTGTAAGTCCCAGGGGGATGTATCTCAATGTTGAAGGGCTTGTCAGTTTGGGATGATGCAGCAAATTCTGGGTGGTCCCTTCTATCCCCATTACTTCAGAGGTGGGGGGAGCCTTTGTCAAAACAGTGTCAGAGAGGACTGGCTATTGAATCAGGAAGAGATGCCCACACAGGAAACTTTAAAAGAAGTGACTCCTCACTCTGGCTCTTTCTCTTCCTTCCTCTCTCTGCAGCATGTGGCAAGGAATGCTTTCTCTCTGGGATTTCCGTGAGGAGTGGATGCTCTTTCTCACTCTGGAAAATATGGCAAACTTCTCACACATGGCAACCAGCCTAGGTGAGCTTGAGATTGGGTCTCAAAGTTCTAATTACTTCTGCTTTGCATTTGTTTCCCGATCATAGGTGACTGAACAGCAATCCCAAGAATGGCATTTCTAGGTTTGGAGGCAAATCTTGTGAATTCTAGAGGCTGGGGGCCTCTGAGTCCTTAAGTCAATAGGTACCCCTGCTATCCATTACAGGGCTCCTTGGAGAAGAAGACCACTGAGAGAAGGAGGAGCCCTATGCTGCCTGGCTTGGACCTTGAAGAAGACAGTGCTCAGTTAAGGTGAAGGTAAAATCCTAGATGGGCAGTTCTACAAAACAGTGTGTACATTGATGTCTTAAGGATCAACCATGCAGGAGAGTGTAATAGTAGCTAAAAGTTACTGCTTTTTAAATTTTTGTCAATGCGTGCTTGTCTTCTTGTGTTAAACGTATCTTTTGTGTGGAAAAAATAAACATTTGTCTCCTACCTGATTTACTTCCTATATTTAGTACCTCTCTTCTTCTACTTTTTGGGGATAATTTAATTTGGAGCCAAATTAAATTCTAAGTGATTTTTTTCCTGGTCCTTGAGAATGGGGGTATAAGGTGCCACAAAGTGTGAGAAAAAGACTGCCTCATACTTCTCTTTAGAGGCTAGACTCCCCCAGGGCTGAGGACAGTCTGTGTTACTAAGTCCAGAGTTATGGGTTCTTATTGGAAAAGCCCCCTTATCCCACCTCAGGTCAGAAGTGGCTCTATGGGTGTTGTTAAACTAGGTAGAGGGGATACAAAGACAGAAATAAAAGTCCCTTTCCTTAAGGAACCCATATTCCACTAAAGGGGTACAACATGTATACATATAAGTAAATGCAAAATAGGACTATGGATGTAGAACTGGAAGGGACCTCAAAGGACATTTAGCCTAATCTCTCATATCATATATGAGAAAACTGGAGCCCATAGAGTTTAAATGATTTGCCTGAGGTCACTTGGGTAGTAAATAACAGAACTAGAATATGAATGCATATCTTCTGACCCCAGAGCCAATGAGTGTTCTGTCTCCTGTCACTTGCTGTTTCTTTACTAAATAAATATAAAGCAACTGGGGCATTGGTGGCACTTACAGTGAGAGAGACCAGCAGAGGCCTTCTGAAAGGAGTTAGGGGTTCTAAGACACAGAGGTGAAAAGAGAAAACATTCCAGGCAGCAGGAGGGGACAAAAGCCTCATGTGAAGTGACATGGATGCTATGGAGAGAGAAAGGCAAGTGAGCCTTTGGAAGTTTGGTTGGAACATAGGATGTGTGAAGGAGAGTCATGGTCTAGAAAGATGGGCTAGAGCCAAATTATGATGGGCTTTAAATGCCAAAGAGTCAGGGGATGGCAATGAAAGCTTTTATGTTTTCATAGAATGTTTCTTGGAGAAGATGACTACTGACAGGACGGAGAGCCCTACTCCTGACCTGGCTCGTGAGAAGACTTGGACCTTAAGGAAGACAGTGTTGACCAGCTGTGTCAAACTGAAATAGAAATGGATCCCCAAAGGACACATACTGACTTAGAAACCACAAATTAACATTATCTATGTTATATTGTAACAGCAGCTAAGTGATGCAGTGGATAGAGTGCTGGGACTGGAGTTAGGAAGACTCCCCTTCAAATCTGGGCTCAGACACTTACTAGCTGTGTGACCCTGGAGAAGCCACTGAACCCTGTTTGCCTCAGTTTCCTTATCTGTAAAATGAACTGGAGAAGGAAATGGCAAACCATTCTAGTATCTTTGTCAAGAAAACTCCAAATGGGGTCACAGAGAGTCAGACAAAACTGAACAACAACAAATTTTGTATTTTTATTTATTTTGTCAAACATTTCCCAATTACATTTTAATCTGGTTCTAGCTGCCCTTGGGAGTTTTGTAGGCTTTGAGTTTGACACTTGTGGTAGAGCACTGGTATCTCCCTCTGTAAAGGCACACGCCATCAGTGCCAGCACAAAGTTGTAATCAATGGGTGCAGTGAGGATCTAGGAGAATGCCTGGGCATACCCACTATAATTATAATGTGAATACTTTTATTACATTAACAAATATACATACACAAACATATACATATGCACATACACATATACACGTGTATAATATATGTGTGTGTATAGATATGAAAGAGATTGTACTAGGTGACCTCTTAAGTCCCTTCCGGTTCCAAATACATGATCTTAGGAATTTATTTTTCCTTCCTGGGCCTCAAGTTTTTCATATCCACAATGAGAGGGTATGGGATTAAGTGAACTCTGAGGACTCTTCTCGTTCTAAGATCTCATCAATGTGTTTTCCTTCTTCCATTTTCTGGAAAAAAAAAATGAGGGAGGATGCATAAGATGAGCTTTGAGATCCTCCCCAGCCCTAAGTCTGGGACCCCATGAATGGCTTTTCCCTTCTCTGGGCCTCAGTTTCCTTATCTGTAAAATGAGGGGGCTGGATAGGAGGGTCTTTATAGTGTCTTTCAACTGTGAAGACTATGACTAAGCTATGGCCACATAAAGACCAGGAAAAATATCTGAGTTATGAAAAGGTGTGTGTGGAAATACATCCTTCTGGGGGTGTTTTAAGACATCGTGGAGCAGCGCTTCTATGGCCTCTGTGTCTCAGCCCTGGGCATTGCTTAGCCCTTATCAAGGCTGTCCAGTCCCCAGACAGTGTGGGTGGGGCAGCCATATGTTGAACTGTTCTACATGGATGTTGGCAGAGGGAGACAATTCTCCTTCTTAACAGGCAGGCAGGAAAACAAGCATTTATGAAATGTGCACTATGACCCAGGCACTGTGCTAAGCACTTTACAAATATCATATCAGTTGATCCTCATAACAACTGTGGCAGGGAGACGCTATTAATATCCCCATTTTACAGATGGGAAGACTGAGACAAACAGTGGTTAGTTGACGTCCCCAGGGTCATTCAGTTAGTGTCTGAGGCCAGATTTGAAATCATGTCTTCCTGATTCCAGGACTGACACTACATCCACTGTGTCACCTAACTGCCTCTAATACTATGTTAACTGTCTAATGCATAGACTATTTCTACCATTTCTTCCTCACTTACTTCATAGGCCTTACATAGAAAGACAAGAATTCAGTGTGAGTTCTTTCACTTTTCTCTTCTAGCATTTGTTTCAAGTCATGCTATGACAAACTTAAAATGTGGTTTTACGTTTTCATGATAGCTCTGGTATTTCCCATTCGTGGAGATAATAAGATGTATGCTATGACGTTATTCAGTTGCTATTTCTGTATTGGACGAATTCCTTCTATTGCCTATTTAAAGACCCTGTGGCCAAGGGTTAGGAGTAGGGCACCATCTTTCACTAAGGAGAACCATCTTTGGGTTCACATGAACAAGGTTAAGACCTGAGGGAACCTATCCTCTACAGAGAGGGGATGAGATCTTTCTCATCAGCTCCGGTTTATTGTTTCCATTCCAGAGCAGAACTTTGGGGATAACCTCTTAAATAAAGCTGAGGGTTAGCTCATGGCCATGGCCTCCCCCAAAGGAATTAACAAGAATTAAATTAAAGGAATTCTTCTGGAAAGGTGTTCAATGTATAAAACAGATAAGGGATAGCACACCTATTTATTTTCTACCACCCCTACAGACAAACACCACAGAACGTCACTTAACAGGATGCTTCAGTAACTAGAGGTCGGAATGTCATGCAGCACGTGTTACATGCATTCGTCCCAGCAGTACATACATATCTATATAACACAAACAAATATACATGATGGAAAAAAATTATCTCAATGACATTAACATTGATTGTTGCTATTCAGTTGTTTTTCAGTTGTGTCTGACTCTATACGACCGCATCTGGGATTTTCTTGGCAAAGATACTGGAGTGGCTTGCCATTTCCTTCTCCAGTGCATCTTACAGATAAGGAAACTGAGGCAAACAGGGTTAAGTGACTTGTCCAGGGTCACACAGCTAATACGTGTCTGAGACCAGATTTGACTCTAAGGCCAGCTCTCTATCCACTCTGCCACCTACCTGCCCCAATAACATTGGTAGACTACACAAAATAATCAGATTATGTGCACATACTAATTGTTGTCTTCATTCTAGAAGAGGATGAAAATGATATCACTACACTAGAGTGAAGTTACAATGCGTCTGACTGTGGCTGATCAGACCAATACGAGCTTGGAATGTTCTACCACAGGTTGGGCACAAGCTGTTTCAATTCTGCTTTGCTCATAGAGTATAGCACTTTCTGTGACGTGCACGCCATGCTGAGTGGTCCTGTGCCCGTCTCCCACATCACACAATTAATTCCAAAGTTCTTAAGAGAGACCTTGAGAGTGTCCTTGTATGAACTGTGTGAAGACTGCATGATGCTAATACAAAGCAAATACATGTAAATAAGAAAAATAATAAAAGACTATTGAATACACAGAAATGAACACATATCAGTTAATACAGGCAATTATTTATATACAAGGCACACATTGTATTGTGTGGCTACAAGTGTGACTGTTTCATCAGTTTGACCTGTAATAAGTTTTTAAGTCAGTTTGGTTGCTGGTCAGATAAGTCTTGCTCTTCTGTGACTTAGTGGCCCTTTTTTACCTACAGCAGTGTTAGTTGATGAAATGGGCCAATCACAATTCTCATCAAAACTATAGTACTGCTTTCCTAAACCTAAACTACTAAAGGGCCCACCTAGGCTAGCTAGTAGAGCTGCTATATTCTGTGGCAGGGTATTTATACTCTTGGAATCTGTATGGCTGAAGTACTTGGTAAAAATATACCAGTATCACCTCTGGATTCAGCCTTCACTGGCTGTTTGAAGTAGTTTTGTGGATACATTATTCAAAGACTTCTTCATTTGAAATGTCTGTTTCTGAGCCATTATTTGGATCAGGCAGAGTTTGCATGATATAGCAAGTGGTCTCTCTGTTACAGTCCCCTGAGATGAATGTCTATCACTTTGGTTTGCCCATCAAAGAGATGAAATAACTTACCTATTGGCAATAGGTCATTGTGTTAGGTTGTCTTTACATCACCTCCCCCCACTCCGTCCCCCTCTCCAATCCTCAGGGACTATTTTTTAAAGAGGCAAGTTGCCTAGTCTCTCCATAACTAAGTATGGAATAGCTTTCCATCCATCTGCTAACTTGCATATTCCATGAACACTGAGATTATTCAGGAAAACTGTCACCTTGTTGACAACCAACTCAGCATCGTATCATTATTTCTTCCTTCCTTCCTTCCTTCCTTCCTTCCTTCCTTCCTTCCTCTTCCTTCCTTCCTTCCTTCCTTCCTTCCTTCCTCTCTCCCTCCCTCCCCCCCTTTCTTTCTCTCTCCCTCTTTCCCTCCCTCCCTCTCTCTTTCTTTCTTTCATTCTGTATTCTTCTGGGCTAAAGTTGTAGTTGGATGGTAAGTTTCCTTTGATTTTTCCTCTCAGCTGAGAGATGTATTGGTTTTTGAGTGGTCT